GTGCATGTGCTGAGTCAGCCATGTCCATCTCTTTGCAACCCCATGGACTGTAGTCCACCAGGCTCCTCTGTCCATGGCATTCTCCAGGCAAGGACACTGGAATGGGTTGCCATTTCCTACTCCAGGGGATTGTCCCAACCCAGGGTTTGACCTTGAGTCTCTTGCATCTCCTGTGTTGGCAGGCAGATTCTTTACCACTGGGTAAGCCACCCGGGAAGCCTATATCCACAGAACTGAATAATTAGATAAATGAATGGCAGATGAGAGGACCAGAGTTTTAGGTTTTTGTTTTTTTTATTTTTTACTATTGGAGTGGGAGTTTACAGATAAACAATGGAAGTCAGATGGATCCATGAGGTAAAAAATTAAGAGCTGGAGAGAATATGAACTCATATTTAGCTTAATACAGATATAAATATGTACAAATACATAGGTTACTATAAAAGCATTTTTTTTCAGTCACTCAAGGCCTGAAAGAAATGACACCCAGTAGCAACAAGCATAATTTGTGCCTAGACACTGGCTTTTAAAACCATTCTCCAATAAATGGAACCAGAATTTCTTGGCAAAATGGCTGATTCTAAAGCAGTAAATATACAAAATGAGTCTGCAGTACCATAATTATGGGGGCAGAGAAGGGGAATGTGAAAGGGGAGGGAGACAAGGAATGGGGGAAGGGGAAGTAGAGAGAGGGGAGGAGGAGAAAGGAGAGGAAAAGGAAAAAAACCACATATACAAGCCCAATGGGGTTGTCAAAGAAGACCAACCAAGAGAGCTACAAATTGCCCAAGCTAGAACAGCAAAGTACAGTAGTACGAGCTAATAACCTCAACATAAAGTACGTACTCATGAGTACTCACTGCTCTAAATAAATGACTGACCTAGAACAGCTGTCCCTGGGAATCGGCAAAGGGTTAGTTCCAGGACACCCCAGGGGCTCCAAACTACGAGGATAAAGGGCATAATATTTGCACATTGTACACACCATGCGACACACTTCAAATCATTTCTAGATCTATTTAAAATACCTAATACAGTGTAAAGTGAAAGTGTTAGTCGCTCGGTCGTGTCCAATTCCTTGCGACCCTATGAACTATGGCCCACTGGGCTCCTCCTTCCACGGGATTTTCCAGGCAAGAACACTGCAGTGGGTTGCCATTTCCTTCTCCAGATCTTCCTGATCCAGGGCTCAAACCCGGTCTCAGGCATTACAGGCAGACTCTTGACCATGTGAGCCACCAGTGAAGCCCAATACAATGTAAATGCTATAAAAATCACTGTAACTTTTCCCCAAATATTTTTGTACAAAATTTTTTTAAAGTGAAGTATAGTTGATTTACGGTGAAACACTATACTGAAAGTGAAAAACAGAATGGTTGTATGGGCACAGAATGAACATAAGTTTATTGATTGTCTACCCTCATTGCTGATTTGGAGCTATGCTCGATGTCGCTGATCAACATCACAATAATATTGTACTGCATATTTCTAGCCCCAGAAAAGATCAAAATTCGAAGTACAGTTTCTACTGAAAACACATCATTTTCGCACCATCATAAAGTTGAACAATCCTAAATTGAACCACCATAAATCAGTGACCATCTGTACAAGCAGCATTGCTACAGAAACTCAGTGACTGTCAAACCTACTTCTAATAACTTTGAAATATTATAGATCTTGTTTTACCAGAAGGAATCCTCCAGCATGCCTCTTTCCCAGGCAATAAGGCAGCTCTTTCAAAATACATCAAACTGATTATTCTCCTTAAACTACTTTTAAGTTCAGAGAGATAGAGAGACTGAGTTCTTACTTTCGTCAAGGCTCACCACCTTACTGCTCAAGTTAGTTTAACATGTGACAGAATTGATAAACTGAGAATGAATAGCCTACATCTGTGCTTTTTATGACACCATTTCCTAATTCCTTAATCCCTAGGATGACTCAACTGAGACTGGCCTATTTTTAAGTAAATTGGTCTATTTTTAGGAAAATTTGCCCCTATCATGAAAACAAGCCAAAAGCAGACTGCACAAAGGCCCTGAATAAGGGATACCCAAAACCTGCTCAAAGAGTTCCATTATCAGCATCCATGAATAAAATCAAATATATAGAGGAGAACATGTGAAAAGGACACAGAAGCCAGACTGCTGGCACACCCGATAGCCAATTACAGGATGTGAGCATCAAAAGAAAAAATTAACTCAGCAAAAGGAAAATAAATAATCTGATTCTTAAGTAGACAAAGGTTTTGAACAGTGATTTTATCACTTGAAGATATACATATAACTAGTAAGCACATGAAAAGATGCTCAACATAATAAGCCAGTTTGCCTGTCTGTGTGTGCCTGCTCAGTCATATCCAACTCTGCAACTCCATTAGGAAAATGTAAATTAAAAAGCCACAAAGCACTCTATCTACTATCTATCAAACTGGTTTAAAAAAAAATGACATCAAGTGGTAGTGAGGATACACAGTAACTGAGATGTTGACACACTGCTGGTGGGAAAGCATGCGTGAGTGCTCAAGTCCCTTCAGTCACGTGACCCCAGGGACTACAGCCCACCAGGTTCCTCTGTCCACGGGGACTCTCCAGGCAAGAATACTCGAGTGGGTTGCTATTCCCTTTGCCAGGGGATCTTCCCAACCCAGGGATCGAACCCACATCTCCTGCACCTTCTGCAGTGCAGATGACCTCTTTACATCTGAACCACCAGGGAAGCCTGGTGGGAAACTTTCAAAAAGGCACAAATCAACTGGAAAACAGTTAAATACACAATTACTTTAAAGATCCAACAATCAGATCCCCAGTTACTTATCCAAGTAAAATGAAAACCTATACACAAATGTTCACAAAAGCTTTACTCCTAATCATCAAAACCTGGAAATTCAAATGGTGTGTCAACAGGGGAATGGATAAACTGTGGTACAACCAAACAATGTAACAGTATTTAAAATAAAAACTAACAAACTCTTGATATATACCACACCTTAGACAAATCTCAACTGCACCATGCTATTTGAAAAGCAGCAGACTTAAGTGACTACATACTGATTTCATACATAATGATTTCATATCATATATTTTGGAAAAAGCAAACCCTAAGGTTAAAAACTGTGGAAAATTCTGAAAGAGATGGGAATACCAGACCACCTGACCTGCCTCTTGAGAAACTTATATGCAGGTCAGGAAGCAACAGTTAGAACTAGACATGGAACAACAGACTGGTTCCAAATAGGAAAAGGAGTATGTCAAGGCTGTATATTGTCACCCTGCTTATTTAACTTATATGCAGAGNGTTGGATGGCATCACCAACTCCATGGGCATGAGTTTGAATAAACTCCGAGAGTTGGTGATGGACAGGGAGGCCTGGCATGCTGCGATTCATGGGGTCGCAAAGAGTTGGATGCGACTGAGCGACTGAACTGAACTGAGCTGAACTGAAGGTTAAAAAACAGACTGGAAGTTGGCAGGGGTGAAGTATAGGTGAACAGTTTGAAAACAAAGGGGTAGCAAAGGGAATTCAGGGGAGTTGGGGAGGATGACAGGATTTTTTTTTAATTGTTGTGGCAATTATAAGGATCTATACATGTTAAAATTCAAAGAACTGTAAATCAAAGCATATGCTTCACCCTTTATAAACTAATGAATTTAAAAAGAAAAATCAAGTTAAAATAACAACTGCAAAGGATCAAGTCTTTTAATCCCTTCAAATAGAAAATCAACTTAAAATAACCCAAGGTCTGAAAACACCTGGATTAATCAACAGCATACATTTCCTGATGCAATGCAATGAAAATTTACCACTACATCTGGCGTAATCCTGCTCAAAGGGCTTAACATAATTTTGAGGAAATATCAGACAAGGCTAAACTGAGGCCACTCTACAAAAACTGGTTTAGACTCCTCAAAAATGCCAATTACACCTTTAAAAAAAAACTCAGGAGCAGGTTCAGATCAAAGAAGTCCAGTAAGAGAACTCCACACAACACAATCTTAGATTAAGGACTTTACTATAGATGGGATAAAAGACAAAATTTCAGTGTAGTTCACTGATTAGATAACAATATTGTGGCAATGTTAATTCTCTGATTTTGATTACTGCACTGTGATTATGTAAGAAAATTTCTTGCTTTGGAGAGGAAAAAAAACAAGTATTTAGGGCGTTACTCATAAATGGCTCAGGAAAAAAAACATAATTTAAAAGACAAAGAAAAAAAATAAGGTTGTGTTTACATTTGGCAAATCTGAGTGAAGGGTTTCCAGGAATTCTTTGTACTATTCTGCAACTTTTGTCTGAAATTATGTCAAAATTCAATTATTTTTTAAAATAAACATCCTTCAGGCTAAAAATAACAGATCAAGTTATCTAAAGGTAAGAATCACCATGAACACATTTAATAAATTAAGAGTCATGGGAAAGCTCTTGATACTTACTCAAAACTGATCACAGAACGGTGTCCCAGCACAAAACCTGAATTCTGGGTTCTACTGTGGCAAGGAACTAGCCTGATGCTGTGAAGCATCTTAACTACTGAAGCAACTCTCCGCTCGACTGCTTCCCTGCTCATCAAGGGCCTTCTGCCTATAAAATAGTGACTTGACATGCAGATCTGGCTATAAAAAAAATCACATTGACTTAGAAATTATTCGTATTTATAAACTGGGTTATAAATCAGGTTTCTGTGGTTCTGATTAATACCAGCATTTCCCAAATCATATCAACTCTGGGACATCAACAAGAGCATTTTGGGACCCATAAGCCTGGGAACTATCTTCTAAAATGGCAGATTTAGCAAGGCAGTATAACTGTGCACACTCTTGGCTAACAGCTTTTCTTTTAGCTATATTCCATCATCTTGTCACAGCCTTCTTTCAACCAACAGATTTCATTACTCATAAAGACACGACATCAAAACAAGTAAGAAACACTAATTCTATCTCAGAAAACTGAAAGAAACTTAAATATGACACAAACATAATCACTTCAAGGACACAAAAAAGGGGGAGATTGTTTTTATTTTCATGCTTTTTAAAGTCTTGACATAGAAGAGATAAAGACAGACCACAGGTAAAAACTTTAAATATGCAGACAGAAAAGAAGTCACTTTAGAAAGAACAAGGCTTTATTCATAACTTTAGGATTAAGGAGTCAAATCTTAAATAGGAAAGTGTTCCATTAAGCACTTACTCAACTTCCTTATTTAGTGATATATATATAGAATTTATGAATTGGCTCTTAGTTCTGGCATGCTTAGTTATCTTGCTTATAGAAATAGGATCTTAAAACTTCATTTTCGGAACACTTTAAAAACCAAACCAATGCCTTGCCTTCAAGGATATGAAAGGTATTTCCTATTTAAATCTGATTCATGGTTTTATAAAGCAAGATCACTTATATTATTTCATCATCCATATGCTGGATTCTAACATCCTTTTTGATGGTGATGTGTTCAATGAAACAAACTTATAAAGACAGAATTCCTTCTCAATTTGTAAACCAAAATTTTAAAAGCAAAATCCTTGTAGAGACAGGAAGACATTTTTATAACATAAGCAGCTACAACACTAAGCTGCTGGCACAGACCAAAACAATTAAGGAATAAATTATTATTTAACCTTTCAATACTCTGTTTGCTATATAACTTGTAAATATTTTAAATATAGCTTCTTTTGCAAAAAAAAGTAAGATTATCCCCAACTTAACAGCTTTTGAAGATGTAAATATTACAAATTTAAAAAGGTAACCTTCCTACTGAATGTCCAATTATAAACTGAACCCCCAATTTTCCTATCCCAAGGATATAAAAATGATCTAAAGTAGATTAAAGTACCCTACAAGTTCATATTGAAAATGACTTTTCATATGCTCTTCCACTAAAGCAATCAACATAAAAAGAATGTAAAAGCGCGTTTAGTGCTTGAAGGTTTAGGTAAGCTCCAAGGAATCACAACTTGCAAGCTTTTAAACCCAGAGCTATACAGTATGTGGAAATACTAATGTCTCATAAAAAAAGCAAGCCAATAAACTTCTATTTGTAAATGGCCTAAATTTCAGTAATAATTCCATTCTCCATAATTTTTTATCTAAAACTTCAAAGCCATCAACTGTTTTCAGTTCTTCAAGTGAGCAATGGAAATAGATGCATTTATTAAGGTTTAAAACTAAATTTCTCTTCTCTCACTGTGAAGGCATAGACAGAACAGAAAGTAATAGTATTTTGTCCAACATCCTGACCCTACAGATGTGGAAACCATATACAACATGATCTCATGTCATCATCGATTCACCTTCACCACCAGTAGCATCTTGAGAAATGTGAAGGTCTTCAAGCATCTCAGCCAGACTAATTCGAGGTGCTCCTTCATCGTCTGTGTCACTTTCCACAGGAATGGTTGAATCTAAGACAAAATATAAAGAGAATTTCAAATAAATACAAATATGGAAATATGCAAATACCTGCCCTCCCCATCATTACTACTATTTAACCGTATTGTATCTGTAGCACTTATATCACATCCAGAGCAGGCATTTAAATATACATTGAATGACTGAACTTGCATAAATGTATGAACAACTATCCATTTGTATAGGGGTCAGCATACTGAGGGATCATGCTAGGATGCAAATTACATAAATGTAGCAAGGTAAACAATATTTTACTGTTGTGAAAGTTTGGGATTTTCTTTTAGGGGAAGATGGGTAAATGTTTAGAGTAGTTTTAGAACATATAGTAAAAGTCGTTTATGGAATCGAAGTTTAAGATCTCAAGATACTCATACTGCAGTAATTATTTATTTACAGAAGATACAACTTAAATACTCCTTATTCACCAACCTCTATAAATGTTCACATTTTTTCTAATTGCTTCATCTTCTTCAAGATCTTCAAGGAAATCTTGGTATTGCCTACAGAAGGATAAAGAAACATTTAAGTATCTCTCCTTTACCAAAAAGTATGACGTTAATGTCTTCTTCATTTTCAGCATTACAAGGTAAGTGTGTTCCAAGTATTAAAATCTTTAAAAATAATAACTGAAGGTCAAATATGGATCTTAAATAAATACTGACAGGTTTTTGAAATATATTTTCCTTCAAAATTACCTGATTAATAAAAAACAACACACATTTGAATATAAGTGAAAGTCACTCAGTCGTGTCTGACTCTTTGTGACCCCAATCACTATACAGGCCATGAAATTCTCCAGGCCAAGAATACTGGAGTGGGTAGCCGTTCTCTTCTGCAGGTGATCTACCTGACCCAGGAATCAAACCCAGGTCTTCCACATTGCAGGTAGATTCTTTACCAGCTAAGCCACAAGGGAAGCCCAAGAATACTAGAGTGGGTAGCCTATCCCTTCTCTAGCACATCTTCCTGACCCAGGAATCAACCAGGATCTTCTGTATTGCATATGGATTCTTTACCAACTAAACTATCTGGGAAGCCACACTTGAATATAAGGGGACATTAAATATAAGACAATGTGAAGACCCCTTCATACTTTAACCTCTCCCCCCAAAAATGTATAGCCAAGTTGAAATACAAACATTTTTAAGACTATAGATGAAACAGTCAAATACATATAGTATCTATTTAATATTATATATTTATACATACGTACTTATTTTAAACTACACTGAAACTATTTTTTAGAAATACTGCTATCTCCCACTCACATTTCAAGACACTTCATTTAAACTTTTCATTTTTGTAAATATCAATATTATTAATGTCATCCTTAAGGCCACTCTTCCAATCATCCAATAAATTTTTCTAGAACACAGCATCTTCATTTCTCCTTAAACTGAAAACAGCATATTTGGTATCAAAGAGCTGTTTTCTTTTACACTAAGTCATTAAGTACTCATTTGCTCTCTGTGATATCCACAAGGTTATCATTATACCTTGTGGATTATACTCTGGACCCACAAGAACTCATTATATTTTGAAATGAATCATCTAGAACAACACTGCAATTGTCAGGTCACAAATTAGGAAAAAATAACTAGATCTATGGTAAAGATCATTATATCTGCTCATCCTGATCCAAACAACATATTGATAAGAAAACAAAATTAATATTGAGTGCAAGAAGCAACCGTGTGCTAACTATTTCTTGATGATATAAAAACCATAAAGATTTATCAGAAGGATTTCCTTTGAGACAACACAAAAAGTATAAACGAAGTGGGACCTTTCATCATCTGTATCCTTGTTTTCTTTATCTCTTGCAAGCTCTTTCAGTTTCCAGTTCCTACGACGCTGACGTTTGGTACGGTCATAGCTCTTCTTGATTAATACCTACAGAAATATTTGCAAAATTACAAAAAATGAGAACTAAGTAACAGGACCTCAGAAGCCAATAAAATTTTTTAAATGAAAAGATTATGGGAATATCAGAAAGACCGCCAACTGATGATAGTGGTTATACCTCAAAAGAAAGGAGTAAAGATCAAGAAGCAGTGTCAGAACTTTCAGCATTTTTATTAATGTACTTAATGTTTTATGAGAATGCATTTAGCCTTATGAGTGTAACTGCTAAATTTACTGAAATTTTCCAGTGACCGAGACTTTTTTATACTAAAAATTTCATGTTTCTGGTGGTTTTTTCCTTCTGTTACATCGAAGTTCAGTTTTCCGCTACCATTCAGGTAAATCATTCTGAAACATTATCAAAGGAAGACAATTTTTCTCCCTCATATTCCTACTAATAAATACTTATAGACTACATATATATATTCACAACTATATATCCTGGAACAATTTAATAAAGTGGAGATAAAATAATTTCACAAAACCTTATAAGACCATTTTAATCTTCTCTTTATGAACCTCTCCCCCCAAAAATGTATAGCCAAGTTGAAATACAAACATTTTTAAGACTATAGATGAAACAGTCAAATACATATAGTATCTATTTAATATTATATATTTATACATACGTACTTATTTTAAACTACACTGAAACTATTTTTTAGAAATACTGCTATCTCCCACTCACATTTCAAGACACTTCATTTAAACTTTTCATTTTTGTAAATATCAATATTATTAATGTCATCCTTAAGGCCACTCTTCCAATCATCCAATAAATTTTTCTAGAACACAGCATCTTCATTTCTCCTTAAACTGAAAACAGCATATTTGGTATCAAAGAGCTGTTTTCTTTTACACTAAGTCATTAAGTACTCATTTGCTCTCTGTGATATCCACAAGGTTATCATTATACCTTGTGGATTATACTCTGGACCCACAAGAACTCATTATATTTTGAAATGAATCATCTAGAACAACACTGCAATTGTCAGGTCACAAATTAGGAAAAAATAACTAGATCTATGGTAAAGATCATTATATCTGCTCATCCTGATCCAAACAACATATTGATAAGAAAACAAAATTAATATTGAGTGCAAGAAGCAACCGTGTGCTAACTATTTCTTGATGATATAAAAACCATAAAGATTTATCAAAAGGATTTCTTTTGAGACAACACAAAAAGTATAAACGAAGTGGGACCTTTCATCATCTGTATCCTTGTTTTCTTTATCTCTTGCAAGCTCTTTCAATTTCCAGTTCCTACGACGCTGACGTTTGGTACGGTCATAGCTCTTCTTGATTAATACCTACAGAAATATTTGCAAAATTACAAAAAATGAGAACTAAGTAACAGGACCTCAGAAGCCAATAAAATTTTTTAAATGAAAAGATTATGGGAATATCAGAAAGACCGCCAACTGATGATAGTGGTTATACCTCAAAAGAAAGGAGTAAAGATCAAGAAGCAGTGTCAGAACTTTCAGCATTTTTATTAATGTACTTAATGTTTTATGAGAATGCATTTAGCCTTATGAGTGTAACTGCTAAATTTACTGAAATTTTCCAGTGACCGAGACTTTTTTATACTAAAAATTTCATGTTTCTGGTGGTTTTTTCCTTCTGTTACATCGAAGTTCAGTTTTCCGCTACCATTCAGGTAAATCATTCTGAAACATTATCAAAGGAAGACAATTTTTCTCCCTCATATTCCTACTAATAAATACTTATAGACTACATATATATATTCACAACTATATATCCTGGAACAATTTAATAAAGTGGAGATAAAATAATTTCACAAAACCTTATAAGACCATTTTAATCTTCTCTTTATGACCTCTCTGAGAAATACCTATTTAGACTTACACCTAAACCATGTTTCTATTTCCTAATTTATTAATTAATAAAGCACAACTGGGTGATGAGGGGAGTCCTTCTTATGCCATGACTTGCTTTCTGCCCACAGCTAAATAGATCAAAATTTATTTTAAAACATTAAGTTAAGCAAGCAGGAGTTAGCCTTTCACATTTCACATTCACTGTTGCTCCTGAGTCTTATAAACTCATGTTAAAATTTAACAATTTTTTTTTTCCCGGAAGTAACATCCTTTCTTTCTCTAAGACTTAATACTGTGAAGATTATTTTCAACTAATAATTTTATTCAAACCTGAATGATGGTGTTAACTTTAAATGCCTTCTTAACAATACATGAGGGACTTTCCTGACAGTGGTTAAGACTCCACGCTTCCATTGTAGGAAGCACGGGCTCGATCGCTGGTCAGGGAACTAATAAGATCTATATGAGCTGCCGCCAAAAAATGAAGGAAAAAAGCATGAAATAAACTGAGCCTAAAAGAATGAACAGAATAAAGGTCATCATTCTTAGCTGTAAATTTATTTTTGCTCTATAGATACTGTCAAGCAATTTGACACAATGAAAATTCGGTAAGAGAAAACAAAAAACTCAATAAATCTTGGATTTTGAGATTATCAAAGAATAATTATCTTACATAAAGATTTTGCTATTATAACTTAACTGCAATTTCAAAAGAAACCTCTAAGTTTATTATTTTCAAAAAGTGTGATTTCGTGCATCTTCCCCATAACAGTTACATTAATCCTCATCAACACAAGAAAAAGGGGGGGGGGGAATCTAAAGCCTTACCACATCTGGTACTCTATCTGATTTCATTTTGTTGACATACTCATCATTTAAGTTACAGTTGACCAAATCAAACCTGAAATGCAAACAATGAAACAATTAATGACACACTTACTCTTTCCATGTTGTTTTATAAATGATCACCTAACAGTTCCTGCTAAGATCAAGCATTCAATATGCTTTCCCACTTCAGAAGTTGTGTGGTGAATAGGCTTCTACAGATCATAGTAAAGATAAAAATGCATTCGATCTCTGAGTTTCATAAGTCATCCACTATTGCCCACCTTACCATACTCTTGTAAAAGAACAAAACAGGTATCTGTCAGTCTAATGTAAGGATTCAGTTAGATGGCTCCATTTTATTCATAAACAACAAAAACAAAACATCCTTCATTCTCCAGTAAAATGAACTGAAACCCCAAGAGCAAAAGTAATGTTTAAGGCAAGCTTATTAAGTTCCCCATCAGAATGGGCTACCCTATGCCCATAAAGACCCCTTACATATATAGCTGCCATATTTTAAAAGTGTAATTTATTTTAACAACAGCATATGCCTAACAAAAAACCACCTGCTCCCCAAAAAACTATACACATAATCTTATCATACAATTTCAGGGATCAATTACTCAAAATCTTGTAACAAATGACTCTAAGATAATGGCCAAAATGGAATAATTATAAGCTTCTGTCCAATCAGTAATTTAATTTATTTATCAATAATAAAGTGAGCTATATGGCTCCTAAGAATTCTTAAATTATTTTTAGGATAAACAACTTTATTTAGATAGCTCTGCTGGCTCCCAGAGAAAATCTGCAATGCTAGTGGGCAGTTTAAAATAATATAAAATAATACAAACCCCAACACCAGGTCTCCAGGATTTAGAAGATGTCCCAAATGAGTGCGACAAAAATACTGTTTATCTGTATTCATTTCAGATGTTTTCTGTACCCAGACTTCCCCGAGGGTATGCTTAACAGGGAAGAAAATGAACTCTTCAATAATCTAGGCATAACTTACAAAGCATCTCATAGAAAAGTTAATAAATACAATGTTGATTTTGGTTTCTGATTTTCATTTTAAATTAGAAGTGTTTGACTTTCCAGACCTCTGAAACACTGTCAAAATTAACCAATTACTGAACTATGAGTAGAGAAAAACTCATAAGTAATTCATAAAATAAATATTTTTGTTAAGATTTTATTCAAGGCTTCTAGAAAACATTAACACTGTCACCTAAAAGCAGACACATATGTAGATCTTTCAAAAGAAATGTATTCACAGGGAGATCACCCAACAAACACTGAGCAAAAAGAATAAAGCACGTGTGTCTGTGCGTGTGCTCAATTGCGTACAACTCTCTGCGATCCCGTAGACCATAGCCCTCCAGGCTCCACTGTCCATGGGATCTCCAGGCAAGAATACTGGAGTGGGGTGCCATTTCCTTCTCCACAGAATTTTCCCAACCCTGCATCTCCTGCATTGGCAGGTAGATTCTTTACCACTGCACACCTGGGAAGCCACCTACTAAAAAAGCAGGGGAATCTTCATTTAAATACAGCAAATATCTTAACACCTTATGTTTTACACATAAGGTTAAAAACACCAGAGTTCATAGAAAATAATCTAACAATCCCAGCAGCACCACTGCCACAACAGCACCCAAATCTTCATCAAATTAATTTTCTGAATGTCTACTATTTTGAGGCATACCTTTTTTAAAAATCTATCATGGAAACATCATCTCAAGTTTGAACTTTTTAAGCAAAAAACCACTAAAGGCCCTTTCCAACACAGAATTTTATAAGCAATTGTAAATGACATTTCAAATTTCCTGGCTGAATTAAGTAGAGCCATGCCAATACCTTTTACTAACAAAAACAAACCCAGGTAAAACGGGATTCAGAGCAAAACACTAAGAATTATAGATAAAGAATCTCAAAGAGTTAAAAAGAAGGGGTAAAGATACAGGAAAAAACCAAAGTTAACAGACAGGTCCTGGATTTAGGGGAAAACTGGGTGGGGAAAGAAATAAAAGCAAACTACCAGGGAAACACTAAATTCTAACAATGTATTTCCTGAAAACAAAAAAAAACATAATATCTAGCTTTATATGTTGGAGAGGAAGTGGTGGTGTTTAAATGATAAGTATTTGCTCTTAAATACTACTTTCCATAGTAGAAGAAATCAGACTGACATGCTTGAAGAAATACCTGATTTCAGATATTGGGGTAAGAACTACACAATGTGATTTTAGAACACCTAAATGTTGTGGTGTTATCCCAAAACGTAAGGATGCTTTCAAAGACTTTACTTTAAAGAAAGTCATGTCAAAGGATATAAGAATATACCTACAGCTATTAAGAAACTGAGTCAATAATTAATAATCTTTCAAAACAGAAAGCATCAGGCCCTGATGGACTCACTGGTGAATTCTAGCAAACATTTAAGGGAGATACACCATTCCTCTAGAATCTTCTCCAGATGGTAGAAGCACACGGAACACTTCCTAACTCAATGACAAGCCCAACATTACCCTAAAATCAATACCAGACAAAGACATTACAAGGAAGTAAACTACAGACCAATCCCTCATGAACATAGATTTAAAACTCCTCAACAAAATATAAAAGAACTGTACACCATTACCAAGTGGAATTTAACACATGTATGCAAGGCTAGTTCAACATTTGAAAATCAAGTTAACGGAGCCCATTAGTCATTAACAACATGCTAAAAACAACAACAAAAAAATCATACAATGATATCAATAAATAAAAAGCATTTGACAAAATCCAACACTCATTCATGATAAAAACGCTCAGTAAACTAGAAATAGAGGGGAAACTTCCTTCACTTGATAAGGAGTATCTATTTAAAAATTACAACTAACATTATACTTAATGGTCAGAAACTTGGCGCTTTCCCTCTAAGATCAGGTACAAGGCAAGGATGTCCCCTCTCACTACTCATTTGCAATACCCTACTGGAAACCCTAGCTAATACAAAAGATAAGGAAATGAAAGGTATATAGACAGGGAAGGTGAAAGTAAAATTATCTTTGCAGATGACATGGTCATCTTACACAGAAAACTTAAATGGACCAAAAAGCTCCTGAATATATATAGAAAGGTTACAGGATACAGGGTTATAAATGAAAGTCATTTTCCTGTTACCAATATAAAAAATGATAATTGAAATGTTAAAACACCAATACTTAAGTCCAACAAACTGTGTATAAGATCTGTATAAGGAAAACTACAAAACTCTCATGAACAAAATCAAAGAACTAAAACAGAAAGATGTTACATGTTCCTAGACAGGAAAACTCAATATTGTCAAGATTTAAGTTCTGCCCAACTTGACCTACAGATTTATGCAATTCTGATCAAAATCCCACGTTAAGCCACAGAGGTATAATATACAACATAAAGAATACAGTCAGTCATACTGTAATACCTCCGTATGGCGGCAGATGGTAACTAGACTTACCATGGTGAACATTTCATAATATTATGCAAATATCAAATCACTTGTATATAGAAAATAAACTACTGTACATCAACTACATTTCAATTTTTTAAAGATCCCAATAAGATTTTTTTGTGGGTATCTACAACTGACTTTAAAGTTTAAATAGATAAGCAAAAGATCCTGAATAGTCAGAAAGATTTTGAAGGAGAAGAATAAAGTTGTAGGAATGACACTACCTAACTTTAAGACTTACTATACCGCTACAGTAATCAAGGCAGTGTGGTACTGACAAAAGAATAAACAAATGGATCAACGAAACAAAAGAGAGTCCAGGAGTGTACCCACACAAATACAGCCAACTGATCTTTGACAAGGCAGCAAAGGCCAAACAATGGCGCAAACTCAGTCTTTTCAACAAATGGTGCTTGATCAACTGGATGCGTGCCTGCAAGTTGCTTTAGTCATGTCTGACTCTTCGCAACCCTATGGACCACAGCTTGCCAGGCTCCTCTCTCCACAGGATTCTCCAGGCAAGAATGCTGGAGTGGGTTGCCATGCCCTCCTCCAGGGGGTCTTCCCAACCCAGGGGTTAAACCCATGTCTTCTGCAACTCTTGCACTGCAGGCAGATTCTTTACTGCTGAGTCACCAGGAAAGCCTGATCAACTGGATATTGGCATGCAAAAAAAAAAGTCAATCTAGACAAAACCTTACACCTTCCACAAAAACTAACTCAAAATGAATCACAGACCTAAGTGGAAAACATACAACTATAAAACTCCTAGAAGATAACAAAAGAAAAATATAGCTGACCTTGGGTTTGGCAATGACTTTGTAAGTAAAACAAAGGCATGATCTATGACAGAACAGTTGATAAACTGGACTTCATTAAATTAGAAACTTCTGCTCTATGAAAGACAGTGTCAAGAGAATATGAAGATAAATTATACTGGGAGAAAATATTTCCAGAAAACACATCTGACAAAGGACATCATCCAAAATACATAAATAACTCTTCAAACTCCAAAATAAGAAAAAACAATCTGATTTAAAAAATGGGCCCAAGACCTTAACAGATAACTCACAAAAGAAGACACACAGATAGCAGATAAGCATGAGCAAATACTCCTCATCATGCATTATCAGGGAAATACAAATTGACAATGAGATACTATCATATGCCTATTAGGATAGTCCAAATCCTAAACATGGATAAATCCAAAATCCTGACACCACCAAATGCTGGTGAAAATGTGGAGTAACAGGAACTCTCATAGACTGCTAGTGGGAGTGCAAAATGATACCATCACTTTGGAAGGCACTTCGGTGGTTTCTTACAGAATTAAATATGCTCCTTGGTATTTACACCAAAAGAAGTTGAAAACTCATGTCCACACAAAAACATGCAAAGGAATGTTTACAGTAACTTAGTCATAACTGCCAAAACTTGGAAGCAACCAATATGTCCTTCAGTAGGTAAATGAGTAAACTGGGATATCAAGACAATACTTTGCATTACCAAAAAAAGCTATTAAGCCAAGACATGGAGGAAACTTAAACACACATTACTAAGTGAAAGAAGCCAATATAAAAAGACTATACAGGCACAATAGGAGAAGACCATATGACATTCTGGAAAAGGCAAAACTATAGAGACAGTATTAAAAAAAAACAAAAAAACAGTGATTGCCAGGGGTTAGGAGGGAGTAGAAAAATGCATAGTCAGAGCACAGCAGGTTCTAAGGGGAATGAAAATATCCTGCATGATGCTGTAATGATGGATACATGTCACTGTATTAATACATTTGTCCAAACTCATAGACAGTACAATACTAAGAGTGAACTGTAATGTCAAATATGGAATCATTTTGTGTGATTATAACACGTCAATGTGGACATAAATTGTATGTCCATAAATCTATTCATAAATTGTAACAAATGTACCACTCCTTTGGTGGGAGAAAGGCAATGACGATGCAGGAGGCTACCAATGTGTGGAGGCAAGGGGTATATAGGAAATCTTTTACCTCCTCTTAATTTTGGTATGAACCTAAAACTGTTCTAAAAAAAATCTTTATCCAGGCGATCTCGACCCAGGGATTGAACCCTGGTCTCCTGCATTGCAGGTGGGTCCTTTATCATCTGAGGTACCAGGGGAGCCCCTCTGCCACCCACCCCCACAAAAAAGTAAAAGTTATTAAAAAATAAACTTTTTTAAAGGACAGAAACTGTTCTGAAAAGGCTGCTACTGGCTACATTTGAGGCAATCTGAGTAGAAGGGAGGGAGGCAGCGAGGGAAGGAAGGAGGAGGGAGAAGGCAGGAACAAAGGGAAAAAAATTCAAAAATTTCAACGGAGTTATCGGGCTATCAAACAATCAAACATTACTTGCCTCTTGATATATCACAAAAGGTACATATCATCACCTCTGAAATGTTCTGACCAAAAAAGAAATTAACCTAAATTTAAATGAGACTTCAGATCCACTTTTAAAAGAAATATAAGAGACTACAAAGCAAGTTAAATAACATCATGAGGAAATGAGAATATAAATCCACAAAATAAATGCCCTAGTTGCCTTAGAAAGTTGGTATCATAAAAAAAAAAAATTAGAAAAAAAGAGCGGGTACTATTATTAATATTTAAGAGGTACAATATTCAAATTTAATGCACAGTCAGTCCCCAAATACGTACTGGTTTGAACAAACCATAAAAGACACTTTGGGAAAAATAAAGAAATTTGGCAAGCTATATAGTTGATATATATGATAATACTTTGATTATGTAGCAAATGTTTCTAGGTTTTACAGATACATATTGAAGTATTCAGTATTTATTGATAATATATATATATTTAATTCAAAATGTCTGAAATTTTTTAAAAAGTGAAAGAGGGTTCAGCTTCTCATTTGCTCCTTCTATACAAAGAGTAAAAGAAATACTTTTTCATAATAACATTTTAAGATTAAAGAGAAAGAATTAACTTACCAGACAGTATATGTCTGATAGTTCTCACCACAATGGCCACGTGTTAAAAGCAGATGGCATACAAACACAAAACGCATTTTTACCTGAATGTGGTGTCAGCTTATTTGGAACCACATTTTGGAATTACTAACAAATTTAAAAAAAAAAAAAAGAGTGAGAGAGGGGAACTACAGTAAGTCAGGATTAGAGGAAGGTGAACAGGATGGAACTTACCTTTTTTGATATCATTCCAGCACCTGCACTGCGTTTTATATCTCGGACTATGCTGCATTCCATAACAATAAACTCCTCCAGCTGTTTGGGATGGCATAAACTATTGAAGGGGTGACTCCAGAAGGTGTTCCCATCAATATCTGCAACTAAGAAGAAACACAGAACATCAAAGAACAAAAGAACTGAAGTATTTCAAAAGCCATCAAATGTGTTAACGAGGAAGAAGCTGATACAGTGACTGTGGAGCATCAGGTCAACAGAAACCAGAGTGGCAACTCACACTGCAGAGGACATCATTCATTCCTACCCATCAACCCCAAGTTTCCCAGAGAGTAAGAGAGATACCAGGTGTCAAAAACATGAGCGCCGAAAAAGTGATGCTTTTGAACTGTGGTGTTGGAGAAGACTCTTGAGAATCCCTTGGACTGCAAAGAGATCCAACCAGTCCATCCTAAAGGAGATCAGTCCTGGGTGTTCATTGGAGGGACTGATGCTGAAGCTGAAACTTCAGTACTCTGGCCACCTCATGCGAAGAGTTGACTCACTGGAAAAGACCCTGATGCTGGGAGGGATTGGGTGCGGGAGGAGAAGGGGATGACAGAGGATGAGATGGCTGGATGGCATCACCGACTCAATGGGCATGGGTTTGGGTGGACTCCGGGAGCCGGTGATGGACAGGGAGGCCTGGCGTGCTGCAATTCATGGGGTCGCAAAGTCGGACGGGACTGAGCGACTGAACTGAACTGAACAAGTACCTTTAAAATAAGATCAGATCCAATCAGCTGTATAGCTGTTTCATGTGCTGGCATTTTATTTGACACATTATCAGCCATCTTAAGGTGTTTAGTCTATGGGAAACAAATTTCTACCTGACAGATGTTCATCCCAATACTGCACACAGAATTTTGACTGATGAATTCTAATTAATAAGGATAATAATTGACTTTCTAGAAAATATCAAAATAAATTCAATGTTTTATAACAGAAAACTTGTATTACAGTAAACATATGAAAAAGATCAAGTAGGAGATGCAACCAAGTACTGAGAGACACCTTTCAATATAGGGTCTTCTTCTAAGTCAAATGCTCCAAACTTTAAAACATATGCTCTACACTAAAATTTAACAATGAACTTAAATAATTAGTCATAAAAAATAAAAGAGGTAAATAAGTCCAGTTCAGTAAAAATAAATGGGATAAGACTAATAAAAACTTAAAAATGCAAAATTTTTCTTCAAAAAAAAAAAATACAAGGGCAACTTACCAAAAGTATTAAAAAATTCCAGTGTTTTAAACACTGTACAGTATTGATTTTAACTATTTTTTTAAAAAAATATTACTGAGAATACTTGATAAAATTATAATTAACAATTTATTACTGCTTTTTAAATAGAAGTGTCAAGGCAGTTTCTAAAACTTACCTTGTAGGGTATTTGGATCTATGAGGTGGATAACACTCGTTACTCGAATACACACACAAATCTGGTTCATGTTTCCCAGGCTTTGTGCCAGTTTTGGAGACAGACAAACAACATTATCCTAGGAATAAGAACTAACATTTAGTGTGAAGCAAATTTTAAGTAGGAGTCTTTGATAAACACTCATCAATGTAAACCTAATCAAAGTGCATTTGATCAAACCAAAATGTCATTTTTAATTCTATGTATCAACAAATGGCTTAAGAGAATCAGATCTTGCATAAACAGAAAATAAGCTATACCCTCTTAAGATGGAGATAACTGTCTTAATAAAATGGCTTTAAAAAGTAATTTAAAGATTCTAGTCACCAAGCTGTTTAGTTCATTTCAATTTTATTCAAGTGTGAATGCTTGCTTATTACTCTGTGTTAATACAGTGTGACTTCATTTACTCTCCATAAAAATTTCAGAGGAGCCATATGCTCCTCCTTCTTGTCTGCATGTACCAATGTGTAATCAAAGATGTAATGCCCCTCCAAGAGCACATATGCCTATGTGTGCACCAGGACATACTAATACCGATGTGGCTATCTGTTTTTAAGCTGTTATTAAAATATAAAAGGGATCTGGATTATATTTTAAACTGTATCTATTCACAATCATAAGCTCCCTCACTGAAAGGACATTCTGTACATCCTTATTGGCACCTAGCTCAGTCCTTTTTTTTTTCCCTGAAACTTACTAAGATTCTCCAAAGATTAATGGGAAAACTTCTTTACACTGTGTATTCATTCAGATACCTATATGAATCACTGAAAGCACTTAATACACAAGGCCTAAATATGTCCTCTCACCTAGATTCAATGTTTCATTTAAACTGGGGGTCTGCAAAATAAGACCCTGAGGCAAATATTTGTAAATAAAGTTTTGCTGGGACACAGCCTCAGCCCTTCATTTACCTATTATCTATGGCCAGTTTTGTGAAACAACAGCACAGCTGAGTAGTTGCAAAACAAACTATATAACCTAAAAACTGCAACTATTTACTATCTGGCTGTTTACACAAAAAAAATTTGCTGACTCTGTTTAAGCCATCATTTCATGGTTCTGTACTAAACCATAATGACGACAGATTTAAAGTCTCAGCGTCACAGACCTAGGCACAAATCCTGGCTTCCTCTTGTTGTTAACTTTGGGCAAATCATCTAACCTGCCCAGGCTTCTTACTCATCTTCAGAATGATGGTATGATTTACTCCAGTTGTCCTGAGACTAAACATGTGAAACATACTTAAGTGCTCAGAAAGTACCTTTATGGAGAATGCTCACAATAAATTACAGCACTTATCATTATTAGTGATTTAAACATGGACATGTAAGTTCCTATGTAGCAGAGACATCTAGGACACAGTCCTTAATACACAGTCTTCTATACAACAGATTCCCAATAACTATTTGTTGAATTTTAATTCATTTATATTTTTTGAAGCAGAGTTTTAACTTAGTACAATTAATGAAATGACAATTTTTGTCTTTAGAAAAAGAGATCAGATTTGCAACTACCAGAAGAGGTGGGGGTGGGGGCAAGGGGAAAGAGGAATTGGATTACCATAGTCAAAAGGCACAAACTTCCAGTTATAAGATCAATGACTATGAAGGATATAATGTACATGATAAATATAATTAACACACCTGTATGTTATGTATGACAGTTGTAAAGAGAGTAAATCCTAAGTTCTTATGAGGAGAAAAATATTTCCTTTCTAATTCAATTTTATATCTATATAAAATAATGGATGGTCATTAAAAAATGATAATCTATATCTTAAGTATTATTCAGATATTTTTAAAATCACAAAAATAATTCAAAGCTCTCCTTCCATAATATTCTTTAATTTTATCATGCCAAAATCCAGTTTGCACACATTCCACAAAGTGGCTCCCTGATAAGTAATTTCCTATATTCAAAGTTCAATAGAACTAGCATGTGTCCACTAGGACTGCAAAGTTTAAGGAATATATGCCTTAAGAACGGCAATGAGGCCTTTTAATTAGTACACCAAAAATTTATAATTTTAAGCATGATTACTCTTAAATCTTTTTAACATGACTAAAATGTGTCAGAAATCATTAAGAAGTTATTCTAAATGTTTAACCAATCCCAGAAGGAAATCAGAAGCTAATAATTACATATAAACCAATTAAGGACATGGATTAATTAAATGAGAAAAAGTACCTTGCATATTGGAACAATTTCCACAGAAAAAGTGCTTTTGTAATTGTATGTATTACTATGGATATCCTGAGAGATCAGTCTCTGTGAGGCTTTGTATCTATTAAGAGAAAAAGTTAACCATTATAAAAAGGCAAAGGTTTTTATTTGTCTAATCTTGGGAATATAAATTTTCATTAAATCATCACTGTCCAAGGTCTGAAACAGGTTCCTGATGCCTGTTATGGTGAAGTCTCAGTTCATGCACTTAATTTATAAACTTTCACCAGTCTGATTGCACTCTATCTGTTCTCAAGTTTATCTACTGAAAACCTCCAAAACATGCCCATGGTTTAGACCAAGCAAGTCTACATATATCGTCCATTAAAAGCTACACTAATGTCCACTCCAAGTCATTGTTCACACTAATCTCACCCTTCAGTACAAACTCTACTTTTGAAAATTTCCCATTTTAGGAGCTTAAGTCCTTACACCTCCATAAAGTTTCTCCCCAAAGTTTTTTTAACCTTGTTCTGCTTTTTTCTTATTTAAATACATTGAATCAGTGGTTCAGGACTACAGTGCTTACTATCACAGACTGAGTCTAGCTCCCCAAAGATTCTTAATGCTCTTTGGCTAATACTTCTGTTAAAAGTAGCTAATCCAACAAATGCTTACTAATTGTGTAAGTAATCCTACTATAGCTTTACATATTTTAAGGTAAGTTGCCTAAGCCTGAAGAGTGGATGTGACCCACGTTCATTCCCTGTTGCCTGGATTTAATCACATGTAGGTTTCAGAACATACCTAGTGGGGACAGTACACTGAAGAAATTCTACCATCTTCTGGGCATGTTGTTTTGAGGAATAATAGAAATCCAGACCATCTTTTAAAGAAAAAAGCCATATTAAAGTCATACTGCAAAGATTTTCTTCTACTAATATGACTATATCACAAATTAAATGCATATTAAATAACTAAATTATAATTTTCTCACCATAGTACACTAGGAATGCCATATCACTTAAGCCCAAACTGACCCAAAATAGAAAGGATACACAGAACTTGAAAAACCAACTATCAAGGTTGATTTAACTGAGATTTTAGAATGTGGTCCAAGAAAGAATACCTATTATTTTCAAAAAGTTGATAGAATATTCATAAAATATTCACATACAAAGATTAAATTTTAAAACTTTCATGATTCAGAAGACATTATTACAAGTAGGCACCACATATCCTAATTTCAAAACATATTACAAAGTTACAGTCATCAAAACAGTGTGGTATAGACAAAAAGGCAAGTCTACAGAATCAATCCACACATACATAGTCAACTGATCATGAACAAACAAGTGTGCCAAGAATACACAGTGGGAAAATGATAATACCTTCAACAAATGGCATTGGGAAAACTGGATATCCACATGCAAAAGAATGAACTGAACTCTTGTCTTATATCATTAACAAAAATCAACTCAAAACAGATTATTAAAAAGACTCAAACTAGGACCTGAAACTGTAGAACTTCTAGAAGAAAATATGGAAAAAGCTTCATGACATCAGTCTTAGAAATGATTTCATGGATGACACAAAAAGAAAAATAAACAACTGAGGCTACATCACAGTAAAAAAGCTCACACACTGCAAAAGAAACAATCACCACCATAAAAGGGCAACCTACAGAATGGGAAAAAATATTTGCAAACCATGTATCTGAAAAGCAGTTAATCTCCAGAATCTATCAGGAATTCCTATGACTCATCAGCAAAAAAAAAAAAAAAGAAAAAAAGACCTGATAAGCCAATAAGGAATGGGAAAGGAGTAAGACATTTCTCCAAAAAAGATATACAAATGGCACAGATAAATATGAAAAAAGCTCAATGTTGCTAGTCATCAAGGAAATGCAAATCAAAACCACAATGAGTTTACACTTCACTGCTTTCAGGATGGCTATTATCAAAGAAAAAAAAGACATACTAGTAAGAATATGGAGACACTGGAACCCTTGTACACTACTACTAAGGCAAATATAAAACAGTACAGTCACTATGGAAGACAATGCAGACGTTCTTCATAAACTTAAAATCAGAACTATCAAATGATACAGTAATCCTTCTTATAGGTGTTTATCCACAAGAAGTGAAATCAAGATCTCCTGTATTTATCGAGGTATTATTCACTAAGCTATATAGCTAAGCTTATATAGTCAAGAAAATGGACATTTAGGTTGTGTCCACAACAGATGAATGGATAAATTGTGATATATACCTCCAATGGAGTATTATTCAGCCTTAAAAAGGAAGGAAATTCTACAACGTGCAACAACATGGATGAACGTTGAGAACATTGTGCTAAGTGTAATAAGCCAGTCACAGAAAAACAAATACTGCATGATTCTATTTATATGAGGTACCTAAAATAGTCAAAATCATAGAGTAAGAGTGGAACTACGGTTGCCAAAGAGAAAGGAGAAATGAGGAGTGACTAAGTTAATGGGCATAAAATTTCAATCAAACAAGATGATTCAGTTAGAGATCTGCTATGTTAACACTATACTTACTCAACTGTAAGGTATTATACACTACCATACACTTAAAATTTTAAGAGGGTAGTTTTCATGTTGTGTTATCATAATTAAAAAAAGAAAGAAAGAAAGAACCCATTAAGAAAATGAAAATTCAGACCAGGAGAAAATATTAACAACTCATATGTGAAAAGGGGCTTATATCTAGCATATATTTTAATAAATCTTATAACTTAAGACAAACAACACAATCAAAACTGGCAAAAATTTAAACTGCTGTTTCACCAAAAAAGATACAGAAATGATAATAAGATCATGAAAAGACAATTAAGATCATCAGTCACTAGGGAAAAGCAAATTAAAACCACAATGAGATACCACTTCATTCCCTAGAATAGCTATTTATACAAAGAAACAATAGCAAGTGATGTCAAGATGTAGAAACTGGAACCCTCAAAGACTGTTGACAGGAATATAAAACGGTACAGCCACTTTGAAAATGCAGCTTCTTAAAAAGATAAATACAAATTTACCATACAACTCAGCAATTCTACATCTAGGTAGGCACTCAAGAAAATAAAACAGTCTAATGCTTGCTGAGAAAAAAATGGAAAAATATAGCTTTAAGTACCAGCTGCAGAGCCAATATGATACTCAGAAGAAAATTTATTAACTTTAAATCTATATATTAGAAATTTAAAATAAGCTAAGCTTTCAATTAACTTAAATAAAAAATACTAAAGAAAGTAGAAGAGAAAAAAATTGTATAGCTATGTATGGTGATGCATGTTAAGTAGACACAGGGTGATCCTTCAACAATATACACAAATATCCAATCAGTATATACCTGAAATGAATAAAATGTTTTATGTGAATTTTACAATTCTATTTCAATAAAAAAATTTTAAGTAGAAGGAGTTAGTAATAAAAACAAAAAATAAGAAAAAAGTAAGACTTTTTTTTTTTTATAAAACTAAAACTATCTTTAGAAAAAACTACTATAATAGACAAAACTCTGGCAAATCTGATCTGAGTGGGGAGAGGGAGGAAGTGAAAGATGATGAGAAAAGACAAAGATTAGCAACAATGAAGAAGATATAATGATGAGTTATGGATGAGATTTAAGGCCACAATAAACACACACGTACACACACACACCCCATGTTCAATTCTATGCCAAGTATGTGAAAAGCCAAATGACATGTACTTCCTTGGAAAATGCTATTAAAATTGATTCAAGAAGCAGTATAGTACCTGAAAAAAATTAACATTCTAACAAAATAATTTGAAAGGTTTTGCTTCCTCCCTCTCCTCATACCAAACTGAATGGCTTAATGGGCTGGTTCTTATTAAACTTAAAGATGCTGATTAAACACCATACAGAAAGAGAAAAAACTCTGATTGCTTCTATATCACTAACATAACTAATAACAAGATTAGAGTGAACAGTTTAATATAATTATGCATGCATACGAACCAAATACAAATCTCAACAAATATTCTATTTAGGGATGAAACACAGATAGACAACAATGCCTGTTACATTATCACTCAACGCTATTCTCCACTCCTAGACACAGGGAAAAAAGAAAGGGGAGAAAAAGAGGGGATGATACTGTAAAGGAAGAAATAAAACTATCATTGTATACAAATAATTACTTACCTAGTAAATCAAGAGTATTATGTAAATGACACAAGAATATAATGTAAACCATTAGTGATATTAAGAAATTTCAGAAAGATCAACCTATAAAATCAAGAGCTTTCCAAAAATATTAGCAATAATGACTTAGAAAATGTAGTAAAAACCACCATCCCCAATAACTACAAGTATAGAATAGTCTGGGGGAAAAAAGTGAGAATCATTCAAAATCTTGATGAGGGAAATGAAACAATGTCAAAGAAATACAGAAAAGAACTGAAAAAATATGATTATGCACCAGGTTGTAAGTGCTCTATACAATTTAATTCTCACTGTAATCCTATGAAACAGGTGTTATTATCATCCACTCCATTTTATAGACAGGAAAACTGAGGCTCAGAGAAGTTAAATACCTTGCCTAAGGTCACACAGCAAAAACATGGTGGGAAAGAGATTCAAATTCACAAAATCTGGTTCCACAATTCATGCTCTTACTATTAACCAAGTTTTACAAAAGAATTAATAAGAGGGTATATGTTATGAAGTATAATTTATATACTGTAACAAAAGCAATGAGACAAAATAAAATAGAACTGTGGGATGTGTATAAAGGAATTTAGTATATATAAGAAAGGAGAAATTTTAAATCAGTGAGTAAAGAAGAGACTACTTGGTAGTAAGTATTGAGACAATGCAAGTTAACTTTTGGGGAAAAAGTCATACCAGGTAAGATTAAAGATCCAAAAGTAAAACAAAAATCTATTTTTTAAAAATAATCTTGAGTATAAATATAGATTAAAGAAAGATAGAAAGATTCTATCCTATGTAAGATAGAAAGTCATAAGCCATAGCTATATGACTAAAATGGGATTCCCTAGTAGCTATATGACTAAAATGGGCTTCCGTAGTAACTCAGTTGGTAAGAATCCGCCTGCAATGCAGGAGACCCCGGTTGGATTCCTGGGTCGGGAAGATCCACTGGAGAAGGGATAGGCTACCCACTCCAGTATTCTTGGGCTTCCCTTGTGGCTCTCAGCTGGTAAAGAATACACCTGCAATGAGGGAGACGTGGGTTCGATCCCTGGGTTGGGAAGATCCCCTGGAGAAGGGAATGGCTACCCACTCCAGGATTCTGGCCTAGAAAATTCCATGGACTGTAAAGTCCATGGGGTCAAAAAGAGTGAGACACGACTGAGTGATTTTCACATGTCTTAATATGACTAAAATATGAACAGCTTAGATAAGAGAAGACATGAGACAGTAAGTATCTGCTCTCTCAGCTCACACTCAAGGGCATGCTCTATATGCTTCTCTCTGTATATAAATACACACCATAATGAGACTGATAACCTCTGTAACAGGAAATAAATAAGGAAAACTTAGATATATAAAGAATAATTTACATTAGATAAACAGCCAATACATACGAAAATGTTAACCCTCATTAGTAATCAAGGAAATGAAAATAAAAACAAGATGCCTTTATTTTCTTCATTAGAACAGCAAAAATTAGAAAGCCCAATACAGTCTTATGCAGTACTGGCAAGTGTTTGGTAAAACAGAAATTCTCACAAGTGATGGGACTGTAAACTGGTACTATTTTGTTTTTTTGTTTTTTGTTTTTTTTTTTTTCTCTTTTTAACATTTATCTGGTACTATTTTGGAAAACAATCTAGTTGCACATGTAAAAATTTAACATTTGCATACTTTCATCCAGTGATTTCAATTCTCAAACTCAGTCCCGAAGAAAAATTACTAGCTATGCACAAACATAAAGATGTTTGCTACAGTACCGCTTGTAGTAGCAAAAAACTGGAACATCTTGTAAGCCAATTAATACCAAACAACTAAATAATTAAAAATAGAATGATTAACAAATATACAACCACAGAGTTAAAAATAATGAAACAGGATTATATGCAATGATGTGGAAAGGTTTCTAAATATAGTAAGATGGAAATCACAGAATGTTACAGAACGATCTCAAATATGAGGAGAAATCAATGTTATCACAATTGCTATACAGAATAAACACTGTAATATCCTGCTTTAAGGGGCTATATCTGGGAATAACAAATGGATAAATGGGACAGAGGTCCTTTATTCATAAAAGCTTGTTTCTTTTATAATTTTTCTAATTTTTAGAATTTTAAATTTAAAGTTTTATGAATGTTTATGATGATTTTAAAAACACAGTTATTAGCAAATTAACAAAAGATTAATTTACATCAAACTAAGAACCAGTAGGAAAAAAAAGAGATTTAATTCTGGATGAAAAAAAGGATTGTTAAACTTCCAGCATTTTTGGTTTTGAAAGTGACTGCAAAAGTATGTTTCAGAATGTATGCAAGTTTTTTGCTACAAAAAATTCCATGAAGATATTTCTGCCACAGTGATGAACAATAATCAGAGTTTTCTGTTTCCTTTGCTAGAATATTAGGATCCCAATTCCCAAGTTACTCAAAACAAAGTTATTCAGAACAAAAGTACATTTTTGCCTGATGGCTAGCCACAAATAGCAGACACCATGTTAAACAGGTAGCAAAGTACTTTACCTACAGTAAGTATTCAGTAAGTTTCATGCCACAGATTTTGACTATTAACCTTATGTCTACTGGTAATGCACTCAAATCAGATACAAAGTTTAAAAGAGTTTCTCCAGGTGACAAAACTGATATTTTTCCCCCCATTTAAGAGACCCCAAACCACACTTACAAGTACTTTCTTAAAGATATATGAGATAAGTGAATAACACATCAGTAAGTAAAAGAGGAACTTACACTTTTAAAATAAGTAGAACAAGAATTTGGTCATTCCTTCAAGGAAAGCTATCTCTAAACCCGTACTGTAACAATCAGGAAAACTACGTACATGTCCTACAACTAAAAACATTCACTTTTACCAAGAGACTGAAGTATTTGCTAAAGAATACTTATATTTTCTATTATTAAACAAATATTCATCCATCAACTAGTATATGTAAGTATGCTACACTAATAAATAATAAGTGCTAAGACAGAATACACTCTGAGGAGCCATTATGAAACTACGCAAATATTTTAAAATTCCATCTTCAAGAAATTTAATTATATCATTTGTATATCCCTGTTTATTATTACTGAGTTTACCCTTCTGATTCAAAGTATGCATCACAAATGCCACTAGGCATATGAAAAACAAAAATATTACAACTAACAGATCTCAAAAATAATTTCCTTTCAATAAGAAACTGAATTCTGCATAAAACAAGTTTTTGATAAATTTCTACCACTTTACATTCTGTTAATGCAGTTACTGGTTTACTCATTTGGTTAATTTAGTGTAAATATAAACTAAAATAGAAAAAAATTAAAATTTTTTATTTAAAAAATTTAAAAATTAATCACATTTCAAATATTCAACAGCTACTTATGGCTAGTGGCTACCATATGAGTTGGATAATGCAGAAAAAGAACTAAGATTTTTTTTCTTCCTAACAGAAACTTCTTTTGGACAGTCCTATTTTAGATACTATTACTAATGATAAAAGACTCCTTAAGATAGTTAAAATAAATCTGAAATCATTTCAAATGCTTTAAATTTTAACTCACCATGAATCTCCTTGATACGAAGTGTATTCTGGTGCATCCCATACTTCAAAATCAACTGTTCCAGATAGTAGAAAGTTTTTTTGTGCAAAGTCTAAACATAAATGAGTTATTAGATCAACAGATGAAATGCAAAAAAAAAAAAAAAAAGGTACCTACAGACACAGCACACTCATTTTTTAAAATTTCTATTGGAGCACAGTTGCTTCACAATGTTGTGTTAATTTCCACTGTACAGCACAGTAAATCTGCTATATGCATACATGTATCCCTTTTTTTTTTCAGATCTCCTTTCCATGTAGGAGAGCACAGTAATTTTTAAAACAAAAACAATATAAAGATTATCTAAAATGTGGCAACGATCTGTTTCTAAAGGTGAATGTCCCAAAGCCCTGGAATATCCTTGGTGCCTAAACTATTTGGAAAGAAGGGAAAGGAGAAGGCTTTACCCACTATTTATAATGGACAAAGGCAAAATACAGATGGAGGACTCACACATCATCTTTCTCTCATTACCTTTTGCCTGACTTGAACCACAGCCTTCCAGAAATCCTTAGCTTCCACTCTATGGCAATCTCCACACATCTGGGGCTGAACAACATAATCCACCACAAACACTTGCTGAAGGATGGCACCATTCATCACCTGACAAAGAAAACAATCCAGTCCTTCATTCTTTCCTTTCTCAAAAGAAGATCCTTTAATATCTAACTTAAAATCTTCTTCTATGAATGCTTTGAGGACATTCGTAATAAATAAGTTACATTTAAAGTCGTTAAGTTATACTATTTCCAGAAACATATACAGGTTTAATTCATAGGATTTATTAGATTAGATTAACATTTCAAACTTACCTTTAGTTGAAGTGGTTCTAAGATATTCTTTGAAGATTTTTTATAGCTATATATACATATATATGCATGTGTGTGTGTATAAAATTCATCCTTAAGAGACAAAGAAAACTCTCAAAGAAAGAAGACATTACTTAATTGTTCCCAAACTTAACCCATCATCAGAAATCACCCAGGAAGTTTTACAGATTCCTGGATCTTATACCCAGGTGAATCCAGTTTGATTCAGTCACTGTGAGTCATAATCATCAGCCAAGTTTGAGAAGCACTGCCTTAGGTCATGTTTTTACTTCAATCTTATTCCAAATAAAAATGACTTTGAGAAAATTAACTTAGCCCACTAATCATGAACAAAGGCTGATCTTACTAGTGACCTGATCATTTCTGCAGATGATCCAAAAGAAAACAAAAAATTAAAATTAATAATGTTATTTATTTCTCTTTAAGCTGTCAAGCCCTAATTTACCAATAGCCCCTTACTTTCACTACCTACACTTTAACCATGCCAAAAAATTATGTATAGCTTACCTCTTTCTGAATAGTCAGTTTAACTTTAAGTCTCTTAGAATGAGGCTCAGTCCAAACAAAGCTTGCATCTACAAGCCGTACCTTCAATAAAACACAAAGAAACATAAGTTCCCTTCAAAAAAGAGAAAAAAGGTGAAAGAATAACTCATGATAAAGAGATTTCACAGATGCTCAAGCATCTGTGACTAATCTACCCAACATCATCAATTTTTTAAAAAGCTATCAGAGGTATGGCAACAAAAACAGCAAGTGAAGTGAAAATCTAATGACTATATTAAAGCAACTGGCATAATTCAAGCAAAAATTAAAACTCCTTCCCCTTAAAAACAGTAGTTTTTCTATTTCAAAGTACACTTTTTAGGAGAAAACAAAGACCTGATGACTTCATCATCTACTAGAAAACACATGAACAAAGGTTTCTACTTTTATTATTCTCTCTATAGTAAGTTTGTGGCTTAAAAAATATAGATGGACATTCACTCTTCAGAGGGAGTCTCATGCACTGACTACTGAATTCACAAAGGTAACTCCCTGCTAAATCAGCAGACTCAGCAGAGGCCAAGAACAGTTCGCCCTATGTGACAAACTCAGTGCAGCTCATACGCCAAAATGAGTGCTTCAAGAAAGGAGGCTGGAGAACAAAAAACAGAGGTTGTTTCATTAATTTGAGCAGGAGTTTAAGTAACCTGAACTGAGGGGCTGGAAATAATAGCAGCAGAAGGATCTAAGCCAAGAGATAAAATCTATAGGATTTAATAACAACTAGACATGGGAAGATTTTAGAACGACAGTCAAGGATCCAGCTTGGACACCAAGGTAACACTTTTTCTGACACAAATAAAAGAGAGATTAAATGCAGAGGAATGTGCTATATTTGGTTTCAGACACCTAAGCTCAAGCGGATTTATCTGAGACATCCAACCGAAGCTGTTCAGGAGATAGTGAGATACACACATTTGGTCTGGTGCTCTATGGAGAAACCTGAGTTAGAGGTAACAGGTTTGGGAGACATCAGCAGGCAGATAATAATTTTATCAAGACCTTGTTGGTGAGAAGTAGATAAGCTAGTGCAGATACAGCAGTCTAGAGTAAAACCCTCCTCATACGACTGGCTCCCCTAAACCAAAGCCTAGTGGTCAGTCGACAAGTCGCCAGGCACAAAGGGTGACAGAGAGCTGTTGATTCCCTCAGCCTCCATCTGCGGCGGTCCGCGGAAGCTCCGTGGGCCTGGATGAGACTGCCCTCTCCTCAGCATCCAGTCTCCATCGTAGGACTGGACCTACTTCACCATTCCCCAGCTCGGGCTCACCACACTCTGTCCTCAGACAACCAGGACTAAGCCAACTTACTGAGCCCTTCAGCCTTCTTTACCATTACCTCAGCCACCGGCTCATCTCCCACACGCCAATCTCCATGCCTAACACACACGCCCTTTTCTGTCCCATCCAACACTCCTCCCCAAATCCTGAAAACCTTCTTATTGTGGCCTCTGGAATTCAACATTCACTAACAACAAAACCTTCTGAATCCTCAATCTTTTTCCTGAACATTCCCTTCACCTTCTACATCTCCTGATTTTATACATACATATATATATATATTGCTCTCCCTACAGCTAATGAGGCTGCGACAGTACAGAAGCGGCAGCTATGGTTTTTCCAGTAGTCATGTATGGATGTGAGAGTTGGACTATAAAGAAGCTGAGTGCTGAAGAATTGATGCTTTTGAACTGTGGTGTTGGAGAAGACTCTTGAGAGTCCCCTGGACTTCAAGGAGATCCAACCAGTCCATCCTACAGGAGATCAGTCCTGGGTGTTCATTGGAAGGACTGATCTTGAAGCTGAAACTCCAATACTTTGGCCACCTGATGTGAAGAGCTGACTCATTTGAAAAGACCCTGATGCTAGGAAAGACTGAGGGCAGGAGAAGGGGACAATAGAGGATGAGATGGCTGGATGGCATCACCGACTCAAAGGACATGGGTTTGGGTGGACTCCAGAAATTGGTGATGGACAGGGAGGCCTGGCATGCTGCGGTGCATGGGGTAGCAAAGAGTCAGACATGACTGAGCGACTGAACTGAGCAGATAATGGAAAGTAATGACTGATTGTTTTTTCACCTTCTCAAATGTTTATCATCAAAGGATCCTAGGATTCAATCCTCAAATTTCTCCTTCTCTAAACTCCCTAGGAAGTCTCATCCAATTTCATAGCTTTAAATACCATATACATCCCCAAATTCATTATCTGCAGTCTAGACCATGCCCTTGCTTATCCATCCAGCTCCCCACTATTTCTGCTTCCATGTCTAATGAACAGCTAAGTACCACCTGAGATGAGCTTTGATTTCTCCCACCTGACCTCCTCCTTTTGAAGTCTTTCCTACTTCACTAACAGCAACTTCCCCCTGGTTGCTCAAGAACCACAGAAATCACCCTTGACTCTTTCAACTCATAAGCATACATCCAGCTTCATCAATAAAGTCTACTGACTACCTTCAACAACAGAGCCAGAATCAATCCACTTCTCACTACCTCTACTACTGATTCAAATATCATTTCTCATGATTACTACAATCACTTCCTAAAGGCCCCCACTCCCCTCATATCTATTCTAAATACATGGAATTCTCCAGGCAAGAATATAGAAGTGGGTTGACATTCACTTCTCCGGGAAATCTTCCCGACCCAGGGATCGAACCCGGGTCACCTGCATTGCATGCAGATTCATTACCATCTAAGCCACCAAGGGAGCCCCACTCAGAGTAAAAACCAGTCTGCAAAAGGGCCCACGAGGCCTGACCTACTCAGACTTTCCGTGTCTTCCCTAGTTCACCCCCAAGTGCCTTCCCCTCCCAATTCTACTCTAACCATATGGGTATGCTCCGGTCCCGGCCTCTACACTTGTTTTGCTACCCATAGTGCTCTTCTCTAAACTGTGGCCTCCTCCCTTACTGCTTTTAATGTTTATTCTAGTATCACCTTCAGAGAAGGCAATGGCACCCCACTCCAGTACTCTTGCCTAGAAAATCCCACGGATGGAGGAGCATTGTAGGCTGCAGTCCATGGGGTCGCTAGGAGTCGGACACGACTGAGCGACTTCACTTTCACTTTCCCTTTCATGCATTGGAGAAGAAAATGGCAACCCACACCAGTGTTCTTGCCTGGAGAATCCCAGGGACGGGGGAGGCTGGTGGGCTGCCATCTATGGGGTCTCACAGAGTCAGACATGACTGACGTGACTTAGCAGCAGCAGCAGCAAGATCACCTCACCGATGAGGTCTCCTCTAACCACTCTATTTTGAATTGCAACTCTTCCTGAGCAGTTTTTATCCCCTTCCTCAATTTTTCCTCCACAGAATTTATAACTTTTAATATACCTATTTATTTTGTTTACTGCCCACTCCACACCCTCCACTTCTACCAAAATAAAAGGTCTCTAAGACAAGAGATTTTTCCTCTCTCATTTACTGCCATGTTTCTGACACCACAAGCAGACTGGCACAAGGTTGACACTTAATAAACATCTGTGAAATGCTGCTGCTACTGGTAAGTCACTTCAGTCGTGTCCGACTCTGTGCAACCCCATCCCTGGGATTCTCCAGGCAAGAACACTGGAGTGGGTTGCCATTTCCTTCTCCAATACAGGAAAGTGAAAAGTGAAAGTGAAGTCGCTCAGTTGTGTCCAACTCTTCACGACCCCATGGACTGCAGCCTACCAGGCTCCTCCGTCCATGGGATTTTCCAGGCAAGAGTACTGGAGTGGGGTGCTGTGAAATGCTAATGAATTATTAATGAACATTTGACAAAAGCCTGAAGAATCAAAGCAAAAGACCAAATTACACACAAAACTGACTCCAGGGGGCAAAAAAGAGAAAAACTTGAGACACATCAGGGAACAGAAGAAAAGTATAAAAACAACAATTAAAACTTTCAGAGATCTTCAACAGACTGAATCAAGAGCATTAAAAATTCTAAACTTAAACTATTAGTACTGAAAAATTTCATACAAAAATTGGAAGATAAAAGAAACTGCCAGGAACACACAGAAAAAAAGAATTAAAGACAATACAAGGGCAAAAAGGCATTTCACAAAGTCTTAAGCCGGTAGGGCCAACATTTGACTAATGAGAATTCCAGGCAGAAAGAAATAAGGAAAACAGAGAGAGAAACTTTAAAGAACTATTACATGAAATTTTTTCAGAAGATAAGAGAATCAGAAGACCTTCAAACCAAAAGAGTCCATTTCAACTAAAAACATCGCTGGTGGAAATAATTCGTAGAGTTTAGCATAAAGAAAACTCAAAGTGTTATGTAGAGAGGCTAACTAAACTAACAAACCCTATTTGGTTTTTGGAGATGTTTATGTACTAACTTTAAATAATAAGCACAGGTATCTTCCCTCCAGAGAGTGATGAAAATTTTTTTAAAAACTGAAAACCATAGCCCTAATATTATTATAGTCTCCAAAATTATGTTTAGTGATGGTTGTATATATATATTTTCATAAAAGATTACTGCACAAAAGAGGTTCTCAAATAATCAACCAAGTTTGATTCTATGCTAAATCTTCTAAAGCAAAAGGACTTTCATTTCCATTAAAGAATATATACAACTTTAAAGATGAAAACAGCATGTGTAGTAGTGTGCTTACCAACAGCAGCATTTAACAGTTATTTTGTAAAATCTACTCATACAAGGATTATCTGAAAACGAGACATTAAATCATACCCACACCCACATACACCTACAAAAACTGATTTTAGCTATTTGACCTACCTTACTCAGAGGGGCTTTGATTTTTTTCAAACACAAAGCAAGAAGATCCCTGGATTCTAATGCACACTGTACCCAAGTTGCTGGTGGCTGAAAATACCTGAGAGAAAAGGTACCATATTGAAACTCAGGATCTCTCAGGAAAAAAAAAAAAAATTCCACTTAAATATGAAGACACAACAATGATTATTAACCATATATAATAATACTCAAGGTTGATCTGAGGCACTTAACCCAAATATATTTTAATAGGTTCAGAAACTTTCAATTAGACCAGTAGTTTAGTTAAAAAGGTGAAATTCTGAGTATTTGAGAAAGTCAATCTGTAATAACTTATTAAAAGGTCTTATTACTTCAAGCACCAATAATTACAATGATGACAAAATGCAAAGAATTTCCTGAAGCTATGTTCTGAAACATGGATAAAAACTCATCTCACAGTAGCATTAACATGGTTTATAGTGTACAAATAAAATGCTTAAGAACTGCTTATTTCTCACACGCACAGAAAATGTAAATTAGTACCTAACACTATGTATAAATAAGACTACTCACCTACTTCAAATCCCTTTTCAGGTTTCCCTGACGGCTCAGACCCTAAAGAGTCTGCCTGCGATGCAGGGGACCCAGGTTTGATCCCTGGGCAGGGAAGATGCCTAGCGAAGGGAATGGCAACCCACTCCAGTATTCAGAGATGTTTATGTACTAACTTTAAATAATAAGCACAGGTATCTTCCCTCCAGAGAGTGATGAAAATTTTTTTAAAAACTGAAAACCATAGCCCTAATATTATTATAGTCTCCAAAATTATGTTTAGTGATGGTTGTATATATATATTTTCATAAAAGATTACTGCACAAAAGAGGTTCTCAAATAATCAACCAAGTTTGATTCTATGCTAAATCTTCTAAAGCAAAAGGACTTTCATTTCCATTAAAGAATATATACAACTTTAAAGATGAAAACAGCATGTGTAGTAGTGTGCTTACCAACAGCAGCATTTAACAGTTATTTTGTAAAATCTACTCATACAAGGATTATCTGAAAACGAGACATTAAATCATACCCACACCCACATACACCTACAAAAACTGATTTTAGCTATTTGACCTACCTTACTCAGAGGGGCTTTGATTTTTTTCAAACACAAAGCAAGAAGATCCCTGGATTCTAATGCACACTGTACCCAAGTTGCTGGTGGCTGAAAATACCTGAGAGAAAAGGTACCATATTGAAACTCAGGATCTCTCAGGAAAAAAAAAAAAAATTCCACTTAAATATGAAGACACAACAATGATTATTAACCATATATAATAATACTCAAGGTTGATCTGAGGCACTTAACCCAAATATATTTTAATAGGTTCAGAAACTTTCAATTAGACCAGTAGTTTAGTTAAAAAGGTGAAATTCTGAGTATTTGAGAAAGTCAATCTGTAATAACTTATTAAAAGGTCTTATTACTTCAAGCACCAATAATTACAATGATGACAAAATGCAAAGAATTTCCTGAAGCTATGTTCTGAAACATGGATAAAAACTCATCTCACAGTAGCATTAACATGGTTTATAGTGTACAAATAAAATGCTTAAGAACTGCTTATTTCTCACACGCACAGAAAATGTAAATTAGTACCTAACACTATGTATAAATAAGACTACTCACCTACTTCAAATCCCTTTTCAGGTTTCCCTGACGGCTCAGACCCTAAAGAGTCTGCCTGCGATGCAGGGGACCCAGGTTTGATCCCTGGGCAGGGAAGATGCCTAGCGAAGGGAATGGCAACCCACTCCAGTATTCCTGCCTAGGAAACCCCAAGGAGAGAGGAACATGGTGGGCTACTGGCCATGGGTTCACAGTCAGACATGACTGAGCAACTAACACACGAATCTTAGGTTTAATTTTCAAATTTGAAATTGTAAAATTTAAAATCTTATATAAAACCTGAATAAATTAAAATATTTTATATATATATACTTGAAGTCTTGTAGCCCAACCAAGCAAGGAGTGAGGGCAGTGCTTAGCATATAGTAAATGTTAACAAATGTTTGTTAAATACGTAATACTTCTAAATGCATTACGTGAATGCTTTGTTCACACTCAAGTAAATATTCTGATTTTCACTTTTAAAGGTTCACTGAAAAACCTTACTTACACACTGCCAAATTACTTTTATATATAAGGTGCTTTTTTATCATATATGGCTTCGAGTGGTTGAAGGGAAAAACAAAAACTTCATGGTAATTGGAACAGTTATGTCTTTAAAATCTGCTCTCACTCCTGAAAACATGAACTTTTATGTATTAATTATACATATCAAACCTTTTAATCCCTTAACATAAAAAAAAACAGATTCAATCCCTTTATACTAACTTTACCACATTAGCAGGGAAAACTAGAAAAATACATTACAAAATTGCAAATTCTATAATCTCTAGCTTTGACACCATAAATAAAACTTAAATCTCAGTTACGTGCACTTTAGTATATGTATCTTAATCTCACTATATTCTAATGGCTCTCCTATATGTGAATTTCAACTTTAAGTAGGATAAAAAAGTATCACACTATACCTTTGGCATTGTTTGCAGAAGGATATATAGACTTGTTTTGGAATGCCTTGGCTGATGTCTACTTTGCTTCGCAGACAAGCCACACAAATGTTAGCAGGATTTGGACTAATTGGGACACCACAGTCGCAGCACAAGCTTAAATAAAGCATACATTTTTTTCAAGTTACATTTCATAAGTGTACTAGTTAGATTAAAAAACTATCAAACAGGGATTAGCAGATACAAACTACTATATTTAAAATAAACAAGGTCCCACTGTATAGCACAGGGAACTATAATCAATACCCTATAATAAACCATAATGGAAAAGAATATGAAATATATAACTGAATCACACAGTTTATCTGTAAAACTGATCACACTGCAGTACAGCAGAAACTAACACAACATTGAAAAATCAACTATACCTCAATAAAAAAAAAAATAATAAAATTAACAAACAAACCAAAGTCTTCAAGTTATGCTATAGTATCTCTGCCCTTTTTAAAAACCTGACTTTGAGCAATCTTCAAAGATACACTAGATTTTTAAAAACCTTAGATTATTGAGGAAAACAAAAAGGATGGCCAAAATTCCAAAAAGCCTCAAAATATGACATACACAAAAGGTTAAAAAAAACGGGTCTAGAGAATCTAAATAACTGCTAATAGTAATCACTAGATAGCTTTATAGTCCACAGGCAAAAATTTTTTAAAGCCTCAATATAGCACCGGGACTGCCAAAATGTAAAAAGGATGGAAAAGTATCAGTATAACTGACGGCAGTGTCATAACCCTAGGTGTATTGGGAACAGAAAGTATTTTAAAACCATTGATGCTATCCAAAATAAGAGTTCTATAACCACTAATGTCCACTATGGTAGCCACCAGGCATATGTGACTACTGAGGATTTGAAATATGGGTTACAGAAGAACTGAATACTTAGTTTTATTACATACTTGAAATTTAAAAAGCCACATATGGCCAATGGTTGATGCCAATCTAGAAGAATGTACAGAGACTAGACTATTTTAATACTTTTAAAACAGTATTTACCACAACAAACTTTCTAGCGAAAACTGAACTCGTTTTTTCCAGGAAACAAGGTTTTTCCTTTTTCCCACTTAAGACAAAAGAATCCCCCTAAAAGAAAAGCTTTCCCCACAGTAAATTTTAAAGACTCATTTTTAAGTTTTTAAATTTAATGGGGATAGGGAAAAGGGACGCGACTCACATATGTCCAGGTGTGTGCTTGACGGGTTCTGTCATATACTCCATTTTTCTGTACACCTTGATTTCAAGGACAGAGAATAGTTAGATTTAGACATTTTTCTATTCACCCCTTCATACGAATCTTCCTTTTCTGTGTAAGACAGCCAAGCCTCGTACAGCAGCAAATAAGAAAAACCCATTCCACCTGCAACCTCTGGAACAAGTAATTTCCTTAATAACAGAAGGAAGCGACTGGCGGAGGATCCCATATGCAAGACCCTCGGAGCCACGAATCTGGGCGCTGAACTCAGGTGTCACTTGGGCGCCAACCCTGGAAAACTCAAGAAGGGGCCAGAAACGGCCGGGGCCGTCCCGGACATCACCAGCTCCAAATCCTGCTGCGGACGCGCCTAGAACCCACTGCAGAACACACCGCGGGCGCTGTCACCGGGCCTGCGGGCCACCCACCCCGACCTGACCCCGCACCCCGCGGATAAGACCTCATGCGAGCTCCTGCTGGCGGCGCACACGCGGCGCCCAAGCGGCCCGAAGTCGGCCCACGACCAGGGAGTCCGTCCCGGTCTCTTCTCAGAGACCCCCGAGACTGCAGCGCGGGGCTCGGCCACCAAAACTTACTTAACACCGCTGCGCCGGACCCAAACGTGCTCAAAACCTGGAGCAAGACCAGTTTCAGTAGCCCAGTGAGCCGCCACAAGAGCTGACTCCAGTACAGTGCAGATCTCGCGAGAGAAGGGTTCGAAATCCCGCGAGTCGCGAGACGAGACTCACAACTGCCGGTGGGGGCGGAGGAAGGGGAGGGCGCTGGAGAACGTTGGGCGGAGCGGAGGCCGAAGGGGTGGGATGGATCCAAGGGAGAAGTTACGGGGCTCTCTCGTCCTGTGGCTCCTGAGATTTAACACAGACTACAGCTCTTCTATTGGGTTATCATCCTTCCTTGGCTAGAGCTCATTCGAAGCCACTATTTAGATATCCCTATTGGGAGCTTGCTTCTTGGTTAAGTGATTATATAAAAGTTATCTGTTCACGGCACCACATTACACAAAGAAATTAGAGTAACTTCCATCGAGGGCAGTGCCTTTGTCTGTTTTGCTCACCGTTTTATGCCTAGTGCCTGTCACATCATAACTGTTCCAATGAATATTTGTTGAATAAATGAGAAAGAAATGTAAAAATTATTTGTGAAGCAGTCTATGTTATTTTAAGACCACTCATTATTAGAAAAGAAAATCGCTCAGTCCTGTCTGACTCTTTGCGACCCCATGGACTGTAACTTACCAGGCTCCTCTGTCCATGGAATTTTCCAGGCAAGAGTACTGGAGTGGGTTGCCATTTCCTTCTCCAGAGGATCTTCCTGACACAGGGGTTGAACCCGAGTCTCCTGCATTGTAGGCAGACATTTTACCGTCTCAGCCACCAGGGAAGCACATTATTAGAAAGTGCTCCCCAGTAGTGCACTTAATGACTTTATACCTTGATCCTAGAGCAGCTCAGAAAGAATCTAATCACTCTTTCCTATGACAGAATTTCAAATATTTGAAGAGGGCAACCATATTCTTTTTTTTCTGTCTTCTCACCCCAAATTTCAAGGTATAAGCAAGGTCACCTTGTGATCAGAGAAGGCCTCCCTTGTCTTGTGTAGGGAACTTAAGTAGTCCCCCATTCCTTCTCCTTATTTCCACACCCCATCCTTCCAAGGTGTAAGTTTGATCTTGTTACACTCCCCTGCTTTTAATCCTTCAAAGGTCTCTGCTCTGGGTTATTCAGTTCAGTTCAGTTGCTCAGTCGTGTCCGACTCTTTGCAATCCCATGAACTGCAGCCTGCCAGGCTTCCCTGTCCATCACCAACTCCCGGAGTCCACCCAAACCCATGTCCATTGTGTCGGTGATGCCATCCAACCTTCTCATCCTCTGTCATCCCCTTCTCCTCCTGCCCTCAATCTTTCTCAGCACCAGGGTCTTTTCAAATGAGTCAGCTCTCTGCATTAGGTGGCCAAAGTATTGGAGTTTCAGCTTCAACATCAGTCCCTCCAATGAACACCCAGGACTCATCTCCTTTAGGATGGACTGGTTGGATCTCCTTGCAGTCCAAAGGACTCTCAAGAGTCTTCTCCAACACTACAATAAGCATCAATTCTTTGGCGCTCAGCTTTCTTTATAGTCCAACTCTCACATCCGTACATGACTACTGGAAAAACCATAGCCTTGACTAGACGGACCTTTGTTGGCAAAGTAATGTCTCTGCTTTTTAATATGCTGTGTAGTGTGGGGGGGTCATAACTTTCCTTCCAAGGAGTACACGTCTTTTCATTTCATGGCTGNGATGAGTGCAATTGTACAGTAGTTTGAGCATTCTTTGGCATCACCTTTCTTTGGGATTGGAATGAAAACTGACCTTTTCCAGCTCTGGATTATTGCCCATATGGGAAATTCAAATTTCTTTGCATAGCAAAAGACCCTTCAGGATCTGGCCTGGACATAACCTGTCACATTCCTAAGCACACAGCCATACAAGCCAACTGGCAGGACTTGCAGGAACTAATCTTCCTTTTCTGGCCTATCTGTGAGTACAAGCCACGTTCTGAATGTCTGGGGTTGTTCCTTTTTTCTTTCTCAATACACTGCTTCCATACTATGTTTGATTTATCACCAAGTGCCATAGTGCCATGTTTGTTAGGCATTAGATCGGCTCAGCCATGGTCCCTGCCCTCATGGAGCTTATGTGTTACAGGTGAGGCTGATATTTCTAAACAACTAGGTAGCTTGTTGAGAGTGCTGTAACAAGTAAGTGGCAGAACCAGGACCAGAACAACAGTTTGTCTACGTCTGTTTCCATGTGCCACTATACCAGGCTCCCAGCCCATCTGAGGCTCAGATCAGCTATTCTTATTCATGGCCTTTTTTTTTTTTTTTTTCAAGAAACTATTTCTTTTCCATCCACCTTATTTACATTTTCTGTTAAAGAGTATGTGAGGCAGCCGTGTCAGACCGCTGTGGCTGTTCCTCCTGGGTCAGTGGCCTGAGCCGCGGCAGTTTCAGACCAGCCCTCAGAGGCAGGCAGAGTGCGACAGTCCTCCAGGAGAGGCTGCTGGCAGGCCACGAGGCCACCTCTGCCTGCAGACCCTGTCCCCGCAGACCGTCTGCAACTTGGGGTTGAGTCGAAATAAACTCAGGACCTGGAGTGATACATTCACCCTGAAATTCCTCCTGAGTCTCAGCCTTATCAGCGCCACCTGCCCCTCCTTTTCAGTCTCTTCAGGATCCCTGGTGAAACAGAGACAGGACCTGACCTCGCACAAGTGTGCGCCTGAGACGGATCCTCACAGGCGCAGAATCCCCAGGCCGGCATGGCCACATCAGACCCCGGGAGCTCCTCCTTGCTGTGGGGGTGGCGGGGTCCACACAGCACCGGGGAGAGTCTATGTGACCTGGCGCAACAGTAGGCGGGTTACCATAAGACGCCTCTGTGAGATTGGTGGTCAGTCCTGGGGTCTGTAAGCACAGAAGACAGGGCAGAAGCTGCCTACGTCAGGTTAGTGATGCTTACAGGAGTGGATGAAGCGCCCCACAGTGGAAGTCGCTCCCGAGGCAGCAGCAAACTTACACAGCTTGGCTGAATGGCCAGCATTCCTGGAGCACGTGATTCTGGCATCAGCTGGGTTTTCAATGTCACAAGGGCATGAGCTGCCAGCAGAAGCTTCTCCCAGGTTCTCTTCAGATTCACAAGGTAATGCCATCACTTTTCCTTTTGTAGATGTGCTATCCCGTTAGGAAGTCACGTTGGCACCCCCTAACTGGGCTCCGCTGTGAGGGATTTGAGGACATTTTCCTGCTTCATTTGCAGGCCCTCAAGGGCTCCAGATATTGTGAAATTTTCCCTCCCAAATTACAAGGGGGAGCATGTAACCACACACCACAAACATGACATTGATATAAATATTTTAAAAAATTATATCAGAATCCATAAAATCTCTTTCTTGACCAATTAAGGTAAATATAAATATTTTCATCAGTTTTGTTTTAGCTTACAACATTACTTTCTTGGAGACCCTGGTTCGATTCCTGGGTCAGAAAGATCCGCTGCAGAAAGGTTAGGCTACCCATTTCAATATTCTTGGGCTTCCCTTGTGGCTCAGCTGGTTAAGACTCTGCCTGCAATGTGGGAGACCTGGGTTGAGAAGATCCCCTGGAGAAGGGAATGGCTACCTGCTCCAGTATTCTGGCCTGGAGAATTCCATGGACTACAGTCCATGGGGTCACAAAGAGTCTGACACGACTTTCACTTTCACTTTTCTTGAAGACAAATTGAATTAAGTGTTTAAAAGTAAAGTTTTCTTAATTTTAAGTATCTTCTATACCTAGCAAGTAATAAATGCTCAATAGCTATTAGTGAAATTCTATACAGAATTTTCTAGTGCAGAGTATGGCTATTATCACACCATGTGATAGCACATGTGTCTCATTATCCAGAGATTAGCATAGGAGAGGTTTATTATGGAGCACACTTAGAATCAACACCTGTGGAAGGGGAGGAAGGGACCCATAATTGAGTAGGGGGAGAAGCCGTGATGCCCTGTGCTCTGATGGAGGCCTCACCAACCGTAATGCCAGAAGCTCAGAGGCTGAGGTGACTGTTCAGTTTTCCCCAGGGTGCTGGGCCATGGTTCATTGATGAGTCACTGGATGTGACTGCCCACTGAAGAAGGTATAACCTTGGGTGAGGTTTCTTCTTCAGCCAAGGGGACCCCAGAAGTGGGTGAAACTCAGAGTGTTCCCCCAGTAGCAGGGATAAGGAATAAGTAGAGGAATAAGTCCTTCATCCTGAAGGGGTATCTAGGAAGCACCTCACAGCATGCCTCACACAAGAGCAGTTTGTCTATAGAACTGCTACTAGACCTGGACTCTCAGGAACCACTCAGGTGGCGGAGTGGTAAAAAAAATCCTCTTGTCAATGCAGGAGATGCAAGAGATTCGAGTTCGATCCTTTGGTCAGGAAGATTTCCCTGGAGTATGGCAACCCATTCCAGTATTCTTACCTGAAAAATACCAAGGATAGAGGAACTTGGTGGGTCCATGGGGTCAGACATGACTGAGCATGCATTAATTCCCTTTCATGCTGGACTCTCAGGGCCTTGCTTCATGTCCCACGGCTTTTAGACCCTCTGCCCCCAAGGAATTGCTTCACCTCTTTGAGCCTCAGTTTCCTTCTTTTTTAAAAAAAAAATTTTTATTGAAATATAGTTGATTTAGAGTGTCCTGTTAGTTTCAAGTGTACAACAAAGTGATTCAGTTATATATCCATATTGTTGTCGTTTAGCTGCTAAGTCACATGCGACCCCTGCAACCCTGTGAACTGTAGCCCACCAAGCTCCTCTGTGTGTGGGATTTCCCAGGCAAGAATACTGGAGTGGGTTGCCATTTCCTTCTCCAGAGGATCTTCCTGACCCAGGCATTGAACCCATGTCTCCTGCATTGCAGGCAGATTCTTTACCACTGAGCCACCGGAAAGCCCATGTATATATATGTGTGTGTGATACATGGGCTTCCCGGTGGCCCAGTGGTAAAGAATTCTTTTTAAGATTCTTTTTCATTATCGGTTATTACAGTATATTGAGTATCATAGTTGCCTGTGCTGTACAGTAGGTCCTTGTTGGTTCCTTCTTTTTAAAACTATGTAATTATTTGTCCCTCATAAAGTTGTTATGAGAAATGATTAAGATAAGGTACATAGAAATATTAG